TCATCATGGGATTCAAGGCCCTCGTTAATTCAGAAGTGTTTTTTTTTTCTAATCGAACTGCGTCTGGAATCGAACTTGGGTCTGTATTTCAACAGTTCATGGGTAGGCTTGCCGGTCTACTTTCGACCGTCAGTGCCCGTCTAATGGTAAACACAAAACTTTAAGGGCAAATTCGTCGTTTCAAGGTCGAAATCTCACCCCGAGTACCTCAAAATTGCTCAGCGTAATTTCACATGGAGAAGATGTACGATTAGTCGTTCATCGGCTTGAGGCCAGGACCACCTGGACAAGTGTATAACGAGGCGTGCGCGTTCACAGAAGAGAGAGAGAGAGAGAGAGAGAGAGAGAGAGAGAGAGAGGCCTGTTCCGCAGCGTCTGACACTTCTGCCTGGGTGTGTGTGTGTGTGCGTGTGCATGTGTTCCGCACCAGATTTCCGAACGATGACTCGCAAAATTCATCAGACTAACCAAGGCAAAAACACAAGCTGTTCACGATGACAACAGGTGCAAAAGAATGAGCATGACAAGTGGTGAAGCGAAACGAAGTAGAAAATCGCCCTTACGCGGGATGGGCCAACTGCAAGCCACGCACCTGATCACGCAGCTGATCACGCAGCTGATCAATCCCAAGAGCGCCCCGAGCGGTTTCGTCTGTCCCGCAGCCTCATGAGGGGGATTCCTTGCATTATGTCCGCTACGTTTGCCGTCCATGAACTCTTCCCAGCAAACTGCAAGGGAAAAACCCACCAGGCGACCACCGGGCCTAGCTCAGTTGGTACACCCACGAATTGTTGAAATACAGACCCCAATTCAAAACCTCACACAATCAGATGATCAGAGTGAGATCATATTTTGTATTACCTGGGGCCGGTCAGTCCAAAGATGATATCTCAAGGCCGTCGCCCTCTTCTTTTCTTTTTATAAACAAAAAAAAAAATCCCTCCATGCGCACCGCCGCCCACCGCCGTCTGTCCACAACCCTTCACGTCCCCAATCTTTTCCCGGCAGAAGGGAAGGGAAACCCGCCACGCGTCCCGCTCGTCGCCTCCGCGATGTGTATAAGAGACAGGTCCACAACCCTTCACGTCCCCAATCTTTTCCCGGCAGAAGGGAAGGGAAACCCGCCACGCGTCCCGCTCGTCGCCTCCGCGCATCCCGGGTACGCTGAGCGGCCGAGGCGACTACGGAGGTGACGTGGCCAGGCGTAAGTGTACGTCGATCACGACACGACGGCAACGAGTATCGGCAAGATCTATAATTACCCTGCTACCCGTGCCAGAATTTGAAAACCTGCGCCGGCGCCTTACAGTGCCGACAATCAACTTAACAACAGCAGAATATACAAAATTTACGAGTTACCTATGTTCCCAGAGAGCCCGACCCAGGCCGCCCGGCCGGGCGAGTCGGGCGACCGACTTGCACGGGGGATGACCYGCCCGGGGCACCGGGCAACACCAAAAACGGGGTCTTGTTTTTCTGTGTTTTTTCTTTTTTGGTTGGCAGTGGGACAATTCCGCGCCCGCTAGTACGTGCCCAAATCTGACCTTACCTTTGAGTTTGGTGATATCTCACCAAAGGGTGTCGATGGGGTATAAGCCTGGTTCGAAAGGGGCATTAAAGGGGTATATGCTAAGATTTATTATTTTATTTTTATTTTCTATCCCGAATTCCATAGCAAATAAAATCTGCATAGCATAGATTTTTTGATTTTTTTTAATTTATTTTTTTTGTTTCTGCTTTTGTTTGCGCTGGGATTGCCTGGGACCTTGACCGGCCTTTGCCCGGACCTGGCCCGGCCGGGCCACCCGGTCCAATCTGAGGCAACCCGGGCCGCCAGGCTGGTAACCAGCGAGCAACAGAAAATCCCATCAACACCACTAAATATACAAAAACTCGTTCCCGCCTGCCTATAAGTCCCGATCCTTTCATGAATCCTCGATCCATTCAAACCCTGTCCCTGTCAAAGCCCTGCCCAATTTGATCCATCCAAACCCTGTCCCTGTCAAAGCCCTGCCCAATTTCAAACACCTGGTCGAAAACCGGTCTTTGCCCGAGTTCCAGTCTCATCTTTTAACCAGAGATTATCATCAACCTTAGACAGCCTATTCATGCGATAATAGTGCGGGTCTTATATATTAAACAGAGAAAGTGAGGTGCTCTTCCCCCTTTGCACCTATTTTGCAATGCCTTGCTTGAACTTCTGTAGGAAGTTACACATGATTAAATCCAATTACATATCCAAGACTTTCGGGATAGACGAGGATTCTCTTTCTCTTTCCCAGAGCCTTTTCTCTCCGCCATAGTCATCGTCCTCTTCTTCTTCTTCTTCTTCTTCTTCTTCTTCTTCTTCTTCTTCTTCTTCTTCTACTACTACTACTACTACTACTACTACTACCACCACTACTACTACTACCACTACTATCCTTTGGTTCTTCATTCTTTTTCTTCTTTCCTGCTTTCCTTTCTCCTCCTTGGCTTTGCTCTTTTTTCAATATTCGCTGAATCTGTCTTTTTGGGATGTCTTTTTCCTGTGGAGTCTTGAGTGTTGTGATGTGAGCTTTGCATGTCCAATGTCTGGATCAATGTGTGGAGCCCTTGCTGGCTGCTGAAAGACGGATGGCGGTGGTTTGGTCAATCTGAATTTCAGGTTCTCTTTTTACTGATCTACATTGGGAGTGATGACCTTTCATACAGCTCAGTATGGACGAAGGCATCAGATTTTCGAGGCTTTCGAGTATCATCTGGAGTTGCGGAAGCCCAGATCCTAGTCCCACTCCAATCTCTATTGTGTGTGTACTTTTCACGCAGGTCCGAGGCCTCAGTATGGCCGTGAGATTTTCAGATGGGACGACAATGAAAGAAAAATGCTCCAAAATCTGCCTTTTCATTATATATATATTTTTTTCCCCGCACGACAATATTGAAAAAGGATTTTTTAAAGCCACCTTTTTTTCCAGATGATTGGGTTCCGTGATTGAAGGCGGTATCCATAAGCACTAATTTATCGGCCAATGAATAATAGGTGCATTCTTCTTTTCCGAAATAGAGCTTGTGGACATTTATGGTCAACGTGAGTATAGTTTCGCAATCCAAAAATCTGGGTGGATAATGAATAGGACCTTGTGCATTCCACTTTTCCGCAAGAGTAGTGTAATGATCCTGGCCAATTTAAAAGTACACATTCATCGGAAAGTACAATGTCATCAAATTGCAAAACGAAATGAATGAGATTGAGAGGAGAGAGAGGGAAAGAAGACGAACAAGAAGAAAGAAAGAAGAAGAAGATGGAGTACACCAGCATAGACCAATGATAATGCTCTTCTTCTTCTCCAACCACTCTCCTCCTCCTTATCTCCTCCTCTCTTATTCAAACAAGAAATAATACAAATAATGTTGAATGGACCAGAATCAATGTCCGAATCCCTCTTCTACTGCAGGTATCATATGAGGTCCACCATAGCTATGGCCACCCTTCTCCTTCCTCTTCTTGAAAGCCTAGGCTATGGCGGACTGCTAGGGCCTTGCCCTCATGTGCAGAAGACAACTCAAGCAGCTATGGCTGCTCTAGCTCAGGCCACCATGCCTGACTCTGCCTCGAAGCTTCTTGGTGTAGCTCTAACCCCTGCTGGGGCCTTCTTGCTGCAGCGCCCAGCAAGGTGATGAAGATGGCAACCACCATAGCCAGGTACGTACCTCTGGAGCTCCCCGTTCCTGGTCCTGGTATTCTTCCCCCTCCTGTCCTTGCTCCTTACCCAGCAGTGCTGCTCCAAGCTAGCGCTGCTCCAGCCAAGTGTGGTCTGTGCAGTAGACTAAGTCGCATGCATGATGTTCGTTAGGAGAGTCTATGGCTGTTGAGTGCTTTGTTGTTCAAGATAGATGGATGTATAGATGTGGATTGAGGTCACGGGTGTAAGGCACATGTGGGCGCAACTCTGGGAGTGTGGGCGCCTCAAACGTCTGCCTGAATGCATGAGTCTGTTGATTTCCTTTTTTTTTCCCCGACCCTTGCCTATCTCGGCACTACATGTGAGCTTTGGGATCGTCGGCGACTTTTCCCTCTCTCCCCTCTCGCGTGCGAGTGCCAGGTGGTGATTGGTCCTGTGTTGCATTGGGCTGGTTGCATTAGGCTGGTTGCCGACAACCAGAGACATCGGTCGCATGCGTCTTCACACGTCACCCAATCTCTTTGCGACCCAGCCATAGCCATTTTGTCCTTGTGACAATTCTGTGATTAACGATGTTGTGTCCCTGAACTTGCATTTTGATTAAGGAGGAGGGAGTGATCCGGGACTCATGTATGGAGTCGAGATTTACCACGTTACACCGGCATGGCTGCTTGTGCGCACCCTCGCACGAGTACGGATTCATACTTTTGTACTCGTACGCTAAGGGCCACTTACAACTTTTTTTTTTTTTTTGATCCGATATTGTTTTTTTCCCCCTCATAATCTAATAAGGATCTGCAAACGATGCTCACCCAACTGTTGCTTGTTTTGTGTTGCTGCATCACATATGCTGTCTTCGGATTTCTGTGATGACTTTTTTTTTTCTTCGTACAGGGGCATACAAGACGTACAGATTCCCATACAGATTCCCGTACACATCTAGTACAGATATTACCTGTACGTTTCGTATGGAAAGGCCCTGTACGTGTACGTTTCGTATGGAAAGGCCCTGTACGTGTACGCTATGCAACATAGACGCTAGCGCGCCGGGTAAGTTCCCGTGCTCAACCCTCTCGCCGATCCGCCACAACACCCTTTGGCCCTCCCCATTTGCAGACGGAGATAGCGATGGGGATGTGCAGAGCACATTGTTGTGAACCGACCGGGTTCATTTATACAACATGTCCAAGGCCTCTCACGTAAGGGGGAATGGGTTTGTTCTGATCGGTTTTCCTCCCAACCATTGATCTTGGCTTACATTGATTTAATGGTGCTGGCTTTGTCGACCGTCCTATTTTAACTGCCGCTGTATCGGTAGGCGGAAGCGGGCTCTAGGGTACGAAGTTTGTGTAAGGTTCCCAGAACTCTCCCACGGTGCGGGCGCCCTACAAGTGAGCTTCCAAACCCGGGATACCCCAGCCTCGCCCCGATCGGACGACGATGCTTCTAGCCGACCTCTTGGACTCAATAAATCTGACTCGGAAGCCTAGATGCTCCTTATCTCTGAGGTCCGTGCAATAGAGTTGGTGAGAACCTAGAGCGAGGGAAGCGGTAGATTCCAATCCTCTCTTTTTCTTTTTCTCTTTCTGTTGCCAGTCGACGGCTTAGTCGCGCATCGCTCCCTAGCCTGCGGCGGATCAGAATTTTGTTTCTACCCCGTACAATCGGCCCTGTTTACCCTTCAGATTCTCTTCTGTTCCCTTTTGGGTCCCTCGGCCAGCCTTAATTTTGAAATAACCTCGGACAGAAATGAGAATCCCTCGTTCCGTTGGGGCGATTCAACCCCGCCCAAAATCCTTGGCCACGCCCCGTGCTACTCTGATCGGCATCCCTCGGTACGAAACGGGGTGTAAGGTTAGTATTAGAGCTAATGCGTTTCAGTTCCGAGGTTTCCTTGACAAGGCCGCAGTTTCAAAATATCGGCATCTAGGCGCCACTGATCCGCCAACGCTAATCAAAACCAAGCGAGGGCCCGAACCTGAGTTCGACCTCGAGCTATGGCGGAACGAGAGTAGGGGCCAGACAAATGTGTAGGCCCAATTAACAATCCCCTCCACTGTATCCCTCCAAGTTCATTCAAGGAGATCATTGCGACGCCGTCCACTTCTCACGCGCATGTTCAACCAGCGGCCCATATCCAGGCTCTTATGGACCTTGAGACCGTCCTCATGTCCACCTATGCAAGCGTGACTCAATGTGTTTGCACCCATACAGGCGCAACTCTATGCGCTTGCTTCCATACAAGCGTAACTCAATGCACTTGCTCTTGACGTCTACCGCATCAAGTTTTTTTCTCATCACTCCCCCTGTCGCTCCTCTACTAGGTGTTGCTGCCCAGATATCGGCATTTCGCAACTTGAAGGCAGTTTCATCTAGCCATCCTGGTGTTGCTTCCCAGCTTCCCGCACCGGTCGCACCATTATTGCACCGTTTTTTTTTTCCCTTCGTTTGGTCCATCATCCCCACTTTAGAAGTTCAGAGCGCCCCGCAGTTCGGGATGCTACCTCCTTCTTAGGTGCCTTCTCCAACTTCTCTTCGAACCCCACACACCCAGCGAGTGGTTTCTCTGTAGGTCATGCTTGCGCAGATCCGGGCGGAGATTCTTACTCTGAGACAGCCTCACCCCTCACAGACTCCTCACCCTCCTTTCTCATCTCCCTCTTGTGTGACGCATATCTTGCAGACTCGTTTTCCACGACGTGCTCCTCCGCCTCTACCTTCCTATCTCGCCACCTATGTGTCCCCCCGTACGAATACGGGGAGTACGTACGGCCGTATGGCCCCCCAGGGCCAGACGGTCATACGGGTCGTACGTACGACCGTACGACCCGTTTCGGGGGCCTTCCCCGGGGTGGGGGGGGTGTGCATGTCGGGCCTACCCCCCAAAGTTTAAAAAAAAGGGAAAAAAAAAGTTTGTTCGGGGGTTTGCGGGTGGTGGGGGTCGGGGAA